AGTTTGCTGAAATATTAAAGATTATATTAACTTTATGACAATATTATAATGTAAGATTATCTTGTAAGGTTAATGGCAGATTGCAGTAACATGCTCATTAAAATGTGTAAGCTTGTAACCTACCCATAACCTTACTGCAATGTTCGGTGCTATGAGGATTAAGAAGATGTATTGTATGTCACATTAATTTACAACAAATTATTGATTATTAGAACAAAAGGGGAATGCACAGAATATCTTATAAATTTGTTTAATCAATTGCAAGTGTTACTTTATGGATATATATTTTTATTTTGACGTATTTTGTAAGAATTTTTAACATGCATTTTTTCGCTTCTGACGCCATTAAAAAGAGATAGACAATGCGTGAGGCCAGGAGTCTTAAGAAGTAAAAATACGTCAAAAATGATCATTCATATTCGTGTTACAAAAAGAGTAAAAATTGATTTCTCGAATAATGTTATTTAATTAATAATTATAGTTATTCACTGTTGGTATCTACTTCTTCGAGCTCTACTAGCGACTCGAGTTCGTTTGTGTCTTCTTTGTCATCTAGTTCCTTCAGCATATCTTTGCCCACATCTTTCCCAGTTTTCTTCATACCTCTATCAGGTTGCTTAACATAAAGCAACATCATATTCATGTTCTGCAGAGCTGCTCTAATGTTCGTAAACAATTCACCGTAAGTTTTCTTCAGTTCCTGAAAGTCTTTTTCCCGTTTTTCCTCAATGTGCATGAGTTCTAGTATCTCGCATCCATATGTTTTATATCTAAAAGTTCGATATTATTATGCAATATGGGTTTATAATGGGGCGAGGGGAATATAAAGTAATAAAAATAACATTTATTGGATAGTTAAGAATAAAAAAAGATGCAAAAATATATTTACTAATAGATTATTAGCAACCATCTCAACAACTATGTATTTTATTACAATTACTCTTCAGATCAGAGAGCTCTTCAGATAGTTATTAATAATGTCCTAGTAAACGCATCTTCGCAACTTTTCTAATCTTTATATAGAGGGTGAGACATCCCAGGTAGCAGAGTGACGTCAGAAAACGTCTTATTGATGTCAGAGATGTCAATATGACGTCCTCTGACGTCATTCTGCTACTTGGGATATAAACTGTTACAGAATAATATCTCGGAAGAAATACATTATTAGAAGAAAGAATCATAAAAAAATTTGTAAAATTTTGAAGAGAACATAAGATGCTGATATTATTTTGATAATGAAATGTTTCTTTTAAGATTATTTTGTGATTAACTACAATTTTTAAAATAGCAACATATAGTTTTTTTCAATTCTTCAGGTTATTTTACGTATAAAAGTACTAAAAATTACATAAAATTAAAAAGTACTTAAAAATACATAAAATTAATGAAAAGTGAATATTTTTCGAGATATTTTACTTTTTATATAGACACTTTTCTCAACATAAAAAACAAAATATCTCATATCTACAATTTCTCTCTCATAACTTCACTTTAATATATACTCAGATAGCATAACGAATTTTTAAAGTATTTCTGACGTTTTCTCTTTTTCTAAATCGCAATTCTTTAATAATTTGTACAAAAAGAATAATTCAGGATAATTCAGGAACTTACATGCACCACGATTAGAATTTTTAAAAATTTCATGAAGCATTTATATAGACTAATGCTTAAGAACAGGAAGAGGACTACAAAATATCCAACAAATATCATCTAACAGTAACTTTATACCAATATTATAATTTTCTACTTATATATAAATAATGAAATAGTCTAAAAATACTAATTTCAAAGATATTAAAAAGATATCAAAGATATTATTTTTTTAATAGGAAAATTAAAAATTTGTAAGAAAATTAAAGTGAAAATATGAAATTCTATGAAAATTTAACAATATATAAATATTATAAAAATTTTTTATGGCGAGTTATACTATATATCGAAGAAAATATGACAAAACAATAGATTCAAAAATTTCTATTAGTACATTTGCTTTTATTGTTTTCTTACAGTTTCTTGGATGTATAAGAGGTGACCATATAACAAGTGACAAAAGAGCCAATAGTGCGGATATTGTAAGCTTATAATTTTATAAAACACTTATGATTTAACAATACGTTTTGAATATGTGATACAGTTCTCTTCAGTCGGTTGTTAAAATGTAAATCAATTGGTATAATCTCATTATGAAATCAATTGGTATAATCTCATTATTAAATTATTAATATCTTTGAAATTTGTGTTAATTTTAGAGCCATATAGTTTTTATTAAAAACGATTTTTTTTTAACTAAAAATATATACTATAGTCTGTTTGACAAGAGAGAGCGTGTACGGTAAAATTCGAAAATTATTTAGGATAATGAATTAAAAAAAATACACACATACTATATGGTATAGTATATCATATCATATACTATATCATACTATATCATATACTATATGATATAGATGATGATGCTTTATTATTAATAAGTTCAGTCGCTGAACTCCGTTATTAATAATTATTTAATAAGTGGCATCTCCGAGCATAATATACTTTCGGCTAATTTTATAGCATAATCTTGTAATAAAGACCTCCATATAAATCGAATCTGTCTAAATAACTACTTGATGGTTCAGATCTTCTTCTCTTAGAGCTTGAAATTCATGAGTGCTCAAACATTTTGTATGGGATTTGCATCTGGCGACTGCGATGGCCAATCCAGTACGTCAACGTCATTTTCTTGTTTCTATGCAGTACAAAGCGAATCCGATGTTTTGGATCATTGTCCTCTTGCAGTAGCCGATTTTTGTTTTTCCTCGTAAACCACCTTTGGTAATAACGCCCTATTATATATTTTGACCATTTTGGCAGCGTTCAAATTCTCTGTGAAGATATGCAAAGTGCCAAATCCTTATTTTAAAAAACAACCCCAAACGTGCACCTTTATCGGCTGTTTAACGCTCTGCTGGATGAGTCTGTTAGCGTGAGTACACCAGGTATAACGAAAAGATTGTGCGCGAAAAGAAGCTTCATCCGTAAAAATTACATTGTCCCAATCGCGGTCCAAATTTTCTTTCGCTCAAGTGAGTCTTTTTTCGGTAAATGTTTACCTTTACACAGCCAGTTCCAAGTGATTTTCGAATAATCTTGATGTTGACCTCAAGGAGGTCAATGCTATTGTCCTTTATCGGCGCTCATTGTTTGTTAAAAAGTTATTAACAAAAGAAGTTGCATAAAATAAATGTAATTTTTGGACATTGTATATACAAAAACATGGAATTTGTAGGCTAGGAAGGTGCCAGATACGTACGTACACACACACACACTGCTCGCCCACACAGCGCGCTCGCCCGCCCGAACGAGTTCGCGGTGTGTGCGTGTGTTGCTATTATATTTTTATAAATATACACTTTTTCTCATACTTTTGTGAGAAATTTTCACTCTTTAAGAGAAATTTTCTTCTTTAGCTTAAGTACAACAGATATCCAGACTCAACAAAATCCTCAGCAAAGACAATTCACCTCAACTGGGATGTCTAAGCTCCCGGATGGAAGATACACTGAATCAACGGAGGAGACACTGAGACACTTGATGTCCACTCACTTTCCGGGATTCAGAGAGGATGTCACGATTCAGGGCAACAGAGACGAGGATCAATCAAGGGAACCTCGTGTGACCAAAGAATGGTCCCTCGCGGCCAGAATCGTACAACCGAGCGGGGTCAAATGGGCAATAGAAACCTTTGAGCCTTATAAGGTACCGGGACCGGACGGCATTTACCCGGCACTCCTAAGGGAGGGACTGGAGGTGCTGACAGGTCCACTAATAAAAGTACTCAGGGCTAGTATAGCCCTGAGATATGTACCACAAACCTGGAGGGAGACGAGGGTAGTCTTTATCCCTAAACCAGGCAGAAACGGTCATATCTTGGCCAAGGATTACAGGCCGATCAGCCTTACATCATTTATTTTGAAAACAGTGGAGAGGCTGGTAGACAGATACCTGAAGACAAAACCCTTGGTTTCTTGCCCACTGACCACAACTCAATACGCTTATAGGAAGGGCAGGTCGACTGAGACTTCCCTACATCACCTTGTAAGCGGAATGGAGGGACAGCTGGAAGCCAAGGGGTACGCCATAGGAGTCTTTATAGACATAGAGGGAGCTTTTGATAGCACCTCTAACAAGTCTATCAAAGAGGCAATGTACAGAAACAAGATCCCAGAGGCGATCGTGGACTGGACACAAAGCATGCTAACGGGCAGAAGTCTAACCGTAAGCCTGGGTGAAAATTCAGTTGGGGGGAGTCCGGCTGGGGGCTGCCCGCAGGGGGGCGTAATCTCTCCCCTGCTGTGGTGTCTAGTGGTCGATGACCTTCTGGCTGAATTAAAAGAAGCAGGATTCCTGGTATATGGCTACGCGGATGACGTGGCCATCATTGCCAGAGGAAATTTCATATCGATCCTCAAGGAGAGGATGGATGCCTTGAGGATAGTTCAAACCTGGTGCAGAAAGAAGAGACTGTCGGTCAATCCATCTAAGACCTCGGCAGTGGTCTTCACCAGGAAAACAAACCCGAACACATAGAGCCACTAAAGCTCTGGGGCAGGGAAATAACTTACACAAGCTCGGTGAAGTATCTTGGAGTGATCCTGGATGCTAAACTGAGCTGGCTGCCAAACCTCGAGGAGAAGAGAAGAAAGTTCTATACCACCATGTGGGCTTGTAGAAGAGTAATGGGTAGAAACTAGGGGCTTCAACCAAGGACTGCCCTTTGGCTGTATAGGACGGTGTTGCTGCCAAGACTAACCTATGCAGCGGTAGTATGGTGGCCGAGAATGGAGAGGGTGGGGGCCAGGAACCTGCTAAAAAGCCTTCAGGGTAGTTATCTGAGGGCTGTGACAGGGACCATGAGAACCACCCCGACGGAGGCGCTGGAAGTAGCTCTCTGTTGCCCACCTCTCGGTCACCTGATAAAATACCAAGCCAGGAGAACGGCTTATAGACTTAGATGTCAGGGGGAATGGAAAGATACCGGTCTAGGACACACTAGACTGGGACTTTCTCAGAAGTACCCCTTCATGTTAAAACAGGATAGAATTCCAAGAAAACATCAGTTGGGGAAGAAATTTAAAGTTTTAATACCAACTAGGGACGACTGGAATAAGTCTAAATTACTAGCTGATCCAAAAGTGGATCTTTGGTTCACAGACGGATCGGGTGCAAATGGTCGGTATGGGGCAGGAATCTATGGGCCGAAAAGAAACCATAGAGAAAGCATACCTCTGGGCGGGCTGGCCACGGTCTTTCAAGCCGAGGTAAAGGCCATCCTGAGGTGTGCGGAAACCCTTGCTGTAAACGATAGCGCAAACCAGCACTTTTACATATGCTCTGATAGCAGAGCGGCCATACATGCCCTTGCAAAGACCACTAAAGAATCGGCTGTAGTTTGGGACTGCATGCAGGCATTAGCTAGACTGGGGGAATCTAACAAGATAACTCTAGTATGGATCCCAGGACATCAGGGATTTCTCGGGAACGAGATAGCCGACGAGTTGGCCAAGCTGGGGACCCAAATGGACCCAGCCACGCAGATCGTTGGAGTACCTTTTGTAACGGGAATCAACATCATCAGAGGATGGCTTGAGCGAGAGCACGTTGGCTCCTGGAGGACGGTGGGAGGACAGCTAAACGGCTAATGGAGCAACCATCGCCGGAGAAAGCCAACGAGCTCCTGACCATGAACAGACTAAGGCTGAAGGTGGGATTGGGTCTTCTCACGGGA